TTTAAAAAGAGTTCATGAATTTGATGAAAATATTCATGTTTTTAAAAATGATCCCGAATTCATTTTTCCCAAATTGGATTTTTGATGAATTTGAAAAAAGAATCACGTGTTTGAAAAATTTCATGTATATAAATTTTTCACAATTTGGAAAATGTTCCTGAATTTGAAAAATATTTTAAAAAGTGTTCACATATGTTCACAAATTTAAAAACAAAAACGTAATACAACAACAACAAAGCCTTTAGTCCCAAATAAGTTGGGATAGGCTAAAGGTAAAACCCATAAAATCTCACAACCAACTCATGTCTCTTGCACATGGATAGCAAGTTTCCACGCACCCCTGTCCATAGCTAGCTCTTTGGTGATACTCTAATCCTTCAGGTCTCTCTTAACGGACTCCTCCCATGTCAAATTCGGTCTATCCCGCCCTCTCTTGACATTCTCCACACGCTTTAGCCGTCTGCTATGCATTGGAGTTTCTGGAGGCCTACGCTGAATATATATGCCCAAACCATCTTAGACGATGCTGGACAAGCTTCTCTTCGATTGGTGCTACCCCAACTCTATCTTGTATATCATCATTCCGGCTCGATCCTTCCTCGTATGGCCACACATCCATATCAACATACACATCTCCGCCACACCTAACTGTTGAACATTTCACCTTTTAATCGGCCAACACTCAGCGTCATACAACATTGCGGGTCGAACCGCCGTCCTGTAGAACTTGTCTTTTATCTTTTGTGGCACTCTCTTGTCACAGAGAATGCCAGGAGCTTGGCGCTAGTTCATCCATCCGGCTTTGATTCGATGGTTGACATCTTCTTCAATATCCCCATCCTCCTGTAGCATTGACCCCAAATATCGAAAGGTGTCCTTCTGAGGTACCACCTGGCCATCAAGGCTAACCTTCTCCTTCTCACACCTAGTAGTACTGAAACTGCACATCATACACTCGGTTTTAGTTCTACTAAGCCTAAACCCTTTCGATTTCAAGGTTTGTCTCCATGACTCTAACTTCCTATTTACCTCCATCGGACTATCGTCAACCAGTACCACATCATCCGCAAAGAGCAAAACAAAAATGTAATAAAATAAAAATAAAACAAAAACAAATAAAAGTAAAAACTGACCGGAAGCTTGACAAAACTGGTTGGAAGTTTCACAAAAACTGGTTGGTTCTTTTGCAAGCAGGATAAGCTAGATGGCCGGCCCATTAGCAACGAACGTGGTCAGACAGGTGTGCGCCTTAATGCTGTCAAATATGATTTGCGGCTAGTTAGTTTCAGGGTTTTCTTGATTAATTAAAGTCACAGATGACAAATAGAAGAAATGGAACTAGATAAAACCAATGTACATACAATTGTTTCAACAACGGGATTAGAGACCAGTTCTTTTGGGTGGCTTAAAAAATAAGCTACCTCTCCCCAGCTTAAAAAATAAGCCGCTCTGAAAATTTCTTGCGGCTTCTAGGCCCAGTTCTTTTTAGCTTTTGATTCTTCAGAATCAGCTTTTGGGAAACTTCTCATAGAATCAACTTCTCCCAGAATCAACTGTCGAGTTCTTTTCTGAGATTTTGGTCTCTGATTATGGGATGAGTTGTATGCTGAAATGTCCGTAATGTCCCTGAACTAAAACTGAGTGTTGAATTGCTAACACTTGGTTGTTTTGAACAAATTATCATCGAATATGAGCATGAATATGATTTATGAATATTTTAGCTTGCTAAATATTACAATAAAGAAGGTTTCCAAGTTTCCTTTGCTACAAAACAAGTTGCTAAATATTATTACAAATAGACTGACTAATCTCATGGTACAAGACTGGTAGCAATAGCATCACGTGTTTCGGCCATGGTACCATCATCTTCTGGTGGTAGAGCGTTGGCGCCTATAAATGGCAATGGGGGCTGCACATACGCATCATTGTCAAACTTGTCAAAATGCTCATCATGCAACTTGCTATCACGAATGAAGTTGTGGAGACACATGCATGCAGTGACAATCATCTTTTGGATCTCCGGTTTGTACCGTGGTATGCCTCCAAGAATTCGCCATTTCATCTTGAGAACACCGAATGTTCTTTCAATGACATTTTGCAAAGAAGAATGACGATGGTTGAATGTCTCATGTCTACCAATGGGTGGGTGTTGTTGGAACTCTGGTACATGGTATCGTTGCCCTTTGTATGGTGCTAGATATCCAACCCTGTTTGGATATCCGGAGTCCACAAGGTAATATTTATCTATAGTAAAACATCATAAGCTATTAGAAATGTAGTATGTATCATCATGTACATAACAAAATACATACAATAGATTACCTGTGGGAGGTTGTGGAAAATGATCATAACGAACTATAGCATCGCTCCATACACGTGTGTCATGAACAGATCCGGGCCATCCAGGAACAACAAAAGTGAACCTCATATCAAAATCACAGACTGCCATGACATTTTCACTTGTAACCCCTTTCCTATTCCTGTGTTGTGGCTCCAACTCCTTAGGCACAATCACTTCAATGTGTGTTCCATCTATGGCTCCAATAGCATTTTTGAAATGAGGCCAGAACTTTGTTTTCCTTAGTATGGGGTGCGGTTCAGAGAAAGATGGATCAATAGGCCTAATGAAATCGCCAACCATGCGTACAAGTGCATCAGTTTTAACACTTCCATTTGACCACTTCTCATTCATCCTAGAATAAGAACATGGCATCTTCTTCCCAATCTTGGCACGCTTCGTACGAGGTGTAGCTTCGACATCATGACTTTCACAACCTGAATCATCATCCATATTAAAGCGAGATGAACCACTTTGATATGTGGGAATTGGCACCCTAGCATGTTCATTTGTGACACAGCAAGCATCAAACACCTCTCTCATTTTATCCTCCTCTACTAGTGGAGCATACCGGAACTTGGCAGCTAACGGATTTGCCTGCAATCAAATACCAGGACTCACGGTTAAATAATGATAGAAGAACATCACTCACTACTTGAATAAATGACATGGCAACAAAATACCTTTACCTCCAATGCCCACCACTCATCTGTAGCTGCAATGGTCTTTGTATATTCATCTCTACCAACGCCAGTTGCTTTCTGAGTCAATGTCTTCCATACACTGTAGTCTGCTCTACATATATCCCATCTATTCTTCAGTTGGTCGGAAGAATAATTTCTCCCGAAGCGCTCATTGAACTTTCTAACCAAATTAGCTTTTCCGATGTCGGTTAAAGTGGTGCCACCACGGTTATTAGCTCGCACCTCCTCTACACATGCATCCATAAAAATGGTATGCGCTGCACTGTCCCAGTTTGCTTTAGGGGGCTTGGTTTTCTTTTCTTTCTCCATCTACAACGTCTATCATTAGCACATAGCAGTAGCAAAATAGAACCACTCACAACTAGGATTGAGCAATTGTAGTAGAAAAAAGAATTTTAAAAAATCATCTACCTACACAGTACAGAAAAGAACTCTTGTTCCTTGTACAGAGAAGAATCTAACAAATAAACTAACATCATCTACATCCATCCATCAATCAAGCAAATCATCTACATCTATCTAGCAATCCATTGTTCCATGTACAGAAAAGAGCTACAAATCATCTACATCCATCTATGCATCCACTCTTCCATGTACAGAGAAAATACAAGAGAGAGAGAGAGAGGCTCACCTAGGCAGCAGACAGAAGACAACAGCAGCCGGCTTGATGGGCTCGTCGGGGCCGGCGGAGGACGGTGGGGAGGGCAATCGGCGCCGGCGGGGCGGAGGACCTCAGGGGCTGGCGGGATGGGGGTCGGAGGAGGCGGCGCTGAGCACTGCTTCGGCCGGCTGGATGGGCGCGTCGGGGCGCGCTCTTCTGCTCCGGCAGGGTTCCGATAAGGCGCGCGTCTGGGCTCGAGGGAGGAGGGGCGGCGGGTCAGGAACCCTAGCGGCGGCTGGAGGAAACAGAGCGAGGGGGGAAGAGCGAGGACAGGGGAGCGAGCGGCCGATGTGTTTTCTGGGCCGCGGTCGGTTGGGCTGTGGAAGGGCATTTTGCTTGTAATTTCGTGGTGAGATAGGGGTACAGTCTGAAAACCCAAACGTTTTCATTTGCGGGAGGTCTAGAATCGCCAGAATCGACCCAAAACGCTGCTTTTCGGTTGCATTGTCGATTGTGGTCTGATTTTGACGATTCTACAGAATCAAAACGAGTTCTTTCTAGCTTTTGATTTTTCAGACCCAGAATCTCCATAATCGGGTCAAAAGAACTGGGCCCTAAATTAGTAAGCTCATAACTAGTTTAGAAGCCCCAATGAATAAGAGAGGCAGCTTATGAAAAAAGCTGGGAAGAAGACGGCTTATTTTTAAGCCGCCAAAAGAACTGGCCCTAGACCTTGAAGTAATCGACAAACCAAGAAACGACGTGGTGAGGACCACTCCTCGTTTTGAAAGAGAATAATAAGGGACCCAAAATAAAGCCATGCATATTCTGAGCCTTCAAGATCAATATAGTACCAATCCGATCAGTCGTCCTCTGTCCCATAATTTAGAAACGGATAAATAATACTTCCTTCGTCCCATAATATAGGATCATGTTTATGTAATCATATATGGCATCTCTGTTGGCCTATGTACGAGTACAACCACCATTTTCTGTCCTTTACATGTGTGGCGAAACACTTCTGATTTCATTACCACACGATGAATTATGCTCAACACTAACAAGTAGTATATCACTAGTTGCAGCAGCAGCTAGTACTGCAATGTGTAGTAAAATGTAGAAGTATATTTTTTAGAGAAAAATAAAATCTAGAAGTATTTAAGAGAAAAATAAAATGTAGAAGTATAGACGTATATCTTGGTTTTCAGCCTCAGGCTAAGCCAGTATCCATCCATCGATCCTTGTCTTGCCTGTACATATCAACTTATAATCTTTTATGCAACGATGTAGTAGAGTGTTGCAGCTTTCAGTTCTCTGGCCTTTTGGTAGAATTAGTTGATTTATATAGCGTATACTATTAGCACCAGCTGCTTAACCCATGGACGTCGTCGAACTGCACAGCGTCGTCGTCGACCATGCCGCTGTCGTAGACGCACTGCCCCTGCAGGGCGCCGTCAAAGTAGTCAGACCACCTGAGCTCGCCCAGAGCGCCGGCGTATTGGTCGACGTGGCCGGAGATGGTGTCGGTCGGCCCGAGCTCCAGCCACGGCAGGGCGGCGCCGACGTCAGCTGCCGTCAACGTGCTGGAGCTCGACGCGGACGGGATGGCGCCGCAGTGCTGCTGCAGCGCGCCCATGTGGAAGGCGCAGCCTTCCTGAAGGCTCGGCATCTGGTAGGATTCGGGCACCCCGTTGCCGGCGACACCGCCGACGGGCCAGTCCAGCGGCATCTTCAGGCTATCCAGCATTTTCTCCACCTGGTCCTGGGCCAGCGCCGCCGTTGTTGGGACGAGCTCGGCATCGCTGAAGACCGCTCGGCACGCGGTGGGCGACGTGGTGGTGGCCTCGGCCAGCGGCTTGTGGGTGGCGGGGTCGATGCCGCGCTCCCTCAGCTTCTTCTTGATGTATGAGTTCCAGAAGTTCTTGACTTCGTTGTCCGTCCGGCCGGGCAGCTGCGCGGCAATCTGTGACCACCTGAAAAGTTTAACAGTTGGATGTCATTTGTAATTCGATGGACTGGAAGACAGACAGGCAAGGTGACGTACTTGTTTCCTAGCATGGAATGGAGGTGTATGATGAGGTCCTCCTCCTCCTGCGAGAATGTGCCCCGCTTGAGGTCTGGCCTCAGGTAGTTTATCCACCTCAGCCTGCAGCTCTTGCCACACCTCTCAAGTCCTGATTAATTCAATAAGTTGCTACCAATTAAGTTAAGAGCGGGGCACAAAGTAATCCAGCCAAGATATCCGACGCGATTGTTCTGCTTTTCCGAAACTGCTAATTCACAATGCAGCGCACCTGCACACGCTCATATGCATACGGTCGGTCATACCTGCAAGCTTAGGAACGGAGCTCCAGCAGCCGTGGCCGTACATGGCAATGTGGTTCATGAGCTTCTCGTCCTCCTCCGGGGACCAGAGCCCTCTCCTCAGCCGCTTCTTGTGGCAGCACGACTGCTTCGCCATGGCCGGTCGGCAGCGCGCACTAAAACGCGGCGAGGATATACTGGAAAACAAACGGCTGGACAAGGATAGAGACACGATGGTGGCAGCGAGGAGAGGGAGATCGAGGCGGAGGTATAAGAGGAAGAGAGGAGGCGCAGGGGGCGGGCGGTCGCTTTCAGGTAGGTGTGCACCGTGGGAGAGTGCCCTGCCTGACCCGGGTGCCTTCCTCTCCTCCATCTGATCCCCTACCTTTGCCGCTAGCTGCATGCACACGTACAGTTGCGCAGGACTTTGCTAGCTGTGCAGTGGTAGCTCGAGTCCCCCCGCCCGGGAAATAAAGGTGTAAGTCATGCATGGCTCATGGATCACGATAAGGCAATCTTCACCGGTGCATGCTCATAGGCCTCACAGCTGTGGTGGGGCAGTTGACCACTTTTCTTCTCCTCTTTCTCTCTCTGCCCTCTTTCATGCCTAGTAGCTTGCTAGTTTCTTTTTGCCTAATTTCTGTCGCTTTTTTTTGGGCGAAAAGCCCTAAGCCATCTATTAAGCGTTACAGGATCTTACAAACACATATGTAAAAAAAATTATTCAAATCCTTGAGGGTGTCAAACTTCCTCCTATATTCACAGGCGGCGTGTCGTGAGCACCTTTCCACTTAACACCCACACAATCGGGATTTGATAAAATAGCTACGTTTTGTCTTATTTCATTCGGATATTGTCAATCTACTGTCCATCTTGTTTTTTAGTTTTCTCCTTTCTTTCTCCTCAGCCTATCTTCATTGGATGGACTTACGAAAGAATAATATTTAATCTCCTCATCGCGATTAGGATCCCATGAACCAGGAGCGCCAACACCGGTTCCTCGATCTTCCTACTGGAGGTATGGTCATGACTTTCATTCATTCATTTTATTCTTTGTTATGTTGTGGAATCGAACCACTCAAAGGATTTAAAGTCCTTTTACCAACCAGTCAGAACCAATATTTCTCTATTATATTTTGGTTTTTTGCGCCGCCACTAGGCCTCCGCCTCGGCGGAGTAAACTTTTTTAAACACAGAAGCTTATAGAAGCAGCGGCATGGAAGTCGTGGATGCAGACTGGGAGATGCTGGCTGCTGAACTGCGAAGTAAATCGCCTCGCCAAAGAAGAAAATGCCGAAGGGCTGTAAAAAAAATGAAAACCATGAAAACCATCCGAATCCAGAAGGATCCACCAGAAACGCAAACCGCCGGATCCCAAAAGATCCACCGGAGACACGGCTCCACACGCCCTCTGCTGCCAATAAGCACAACAAGGGAACGGGGAAAGAGCAGAGAGAACATTGTTCGACACTTTTCAAGCACAACTGCCTTGCCGCCCCAGACCAAACTTGAAGATTCTGTAAGAAAACCTGAAAAAAGTCACTCGTGTCATTGCATGACAGGTCCAGATTTGATGTCGACCTCGCCATCATCCCAGACCATGCAACGACTCTCTATTCTTCAATGAGCTAGCCAGGTTGGGCTGCCGTTGAAGATCACGGAGCCGGATGACCAATGTCACCGTCAAACACCGCCCGAGGAACACTATCACTCAAGCATACATCTTCTTCGCCGTCCCGCAGCAGCACTCCAACTCCTCCCTATGTAGGCCGCACCTGATTAGGACCTCCCCGCCACCGCCACCATCACTGCACCGATTTTGCCCGACGATGTGCCCTAGTGGCGGCGAGAGGGGGAGTAGATGGAAATACTTCTACACCTTAGAGTATGCGCCAGTTTTCGGATCATTCCTTCTTGACATTCCTGGGCC